CGTCACACGCTTGAGGAATTCGGCCAATCACAACGCACTGGATAGCTGTCCAATCACAGCACACCTTGCTTTTCAGAACAATGAGCTTTGTAAAAATTGACGCGTTTCAGAAAGGCGGGGCATAGAGGAGGAACAATAATGTACAGTATGTGGAAAATAATGTGTTTTTTTAACCTTAAACCGCAGAAACACATTTCATTACACCAAATACACAAAATAATGTTCTTTTTAGCAACATCATATGACCCCTTTAAAATGATCATGGCATGGCATGATGTATCGCCCAGTCCTACTGTGTAGTATGCTTTTCTTTGTCTCTTACCTTCTCTCCTTCTCTTTCTTCTGTATATCAAGCTATTATATGTGTTCTGCTAATCTTGTTACTGTTGTTGATTATTATTATTATTATTATTATGACCTTGTTGTTGTCATTTATACTTTGTCTCTTTTCTTTGCATATTTCTCTCATTGTGTTGAATTAGTTCTGTTGCTTTGAGCACTCTCTCCCTTTCTAACCCTGCGTTCATTTTGTTATGGCCCGACCGCAGTCCAGGATGACGCTGCCCCAGGTACCCAGGAGTACATTATGTTGCGGCAGGATTCCATCCATTCTGCGGATATAAGGGGTAAAGGCTCCCCTTTTCGTGCTAAGTGTCATGAAATCTTCTGCTGCCCACTGAAGCAAGTCATCCTCAAAGAAAGCTCAGAGGCTGAAGGTTTGTGTGCAAAACATCCATGTTTTTCTTTGCTTTGCTGATGCTTTTGTATCTTTTACTTAAGTTTAAGTTTCATTTGAACTTACTTTAGTTTTTTGCCTTTTCATAAAAGCATCTGGCTCGTGCATTTTCTGTTCGTGAGCCATATGTGTGTCGATGCTTTTGTATCTTTTACTTAAGTTTAAGTTTCATTTGAACTTACTTTAGTTTTTTGCCTTTTCATAAAAGCATCTGGCTCATGCATTTTCTGTTCGTTGCAGAAACTGCTTGAAGCCTGCGATGTTGAATGCCCTAAGGACACACTCATTTTCTGTGTGTGTGTGTGTCTGTGCTCATGGTCCTTCAGATCTGTATTCACCAGTGATTAACTGATGATGTCACTCTACCTGAGCTGAGGCTCCATACTTACATTTAGAGGCACAAATCAGGGCTCTAGACTTTTTTCAGGAACATTCATAGCCAATTTTAGATTTTATTAAATATATATTAATATATACAGTATATATTATATATATAACTTAACAGAGGGCATTAGACACTTTTCCGTTAATATTTTTCAGGTAACTTGACAGGCAACATTAAACGGCAGCCCTTAAAAACAAACAAAAAATTATTAGTAATACTTTATAATAACTTCCATTAGTCATGAATTATACATAAAAATGTGTTAAACAAACTTTTTTTAACTGTAAAATTAATACAAATTTGAATGGATTTTAACTAATGATGTTATGTATTGCATTATATAATGTATTGTGTATTGCATTATATAATTATAAAATTATAACAATATCATATATTATTTTGTAAATGTTTTTAATGAAAGTTGCTTCACATTTTTCTTGAAAGTGTCTAAATTACTAATGAAATTACATAAAATTCACACTTTAGGCCTTACTTAAAGGGTTAGTTCACCCAAAAATGAAAATTAGGCTGTGTTTTTGCACTGCAACACCCGCTGACTGCAATGATAGAGCTTGGAATAGCCAGGACAATTTTTTATATAACTCCGACTGGATTTGTCTGAAAGAAGAAAGTCATATACTCCTAGGATGCCTCGGGGGTGAGTAAAACACAGCCTAATTTTCATTTTTGGGTGAACTAACCCTTTAATAGCTGAAAGTCAGCCAAATTCATGAATTGCAAGTTTGCAAGAAGGCATGTTTCATGGATATTTAAATTACTTGACTAGATGTCTGCCTGTCTAATTAATACTCTTTATACCTTATTTGCTGTACTTTAAAATGCAGCCTATATGTGCACTTTGATGTAGGAAGAAAACAACATCTGACAAGTGCAATAATACAGGAGTCTTAAAGGCACTTTTAAAACATGATGAGTTTTGATCGGGTGTCACTTGTACTTGTGCGACTACATACATTTTATTGCTTTTTATTGCAGCCCCTTGATCACTAACCCTTTAATGTGATTGATTGATTGAGTGAGTGAGTGAACGATGATGATGATTCACAAACATGCCCTACTTCCTTCTATAGATCAAACTCCACCCCTTACCATAAGCCCCTCCCCTTTAATAATCCAACTTGTCTCTTAGTCCCTCTTCCCTCTGTGTCTCTCTTTCTTCTCTTCTCTCTAGCCCTGCACTCATTTTCAGACATTAGGTCTACATGAGATGAAAATCTGTTTAACTGCTGCCCATTTGTTTCACAAATGATAAAGTTTCTGCTTTCAAAGGGCTAGCCCTCTTTCTTTTCCATCAATCTGGCTCCTTCTGTCAGGTGTTTTCAGATGCATGAGGGTTGCTGATGCCGTTTGTACACAGGTCCGATGTGCTGGGTTGTTATGGGGTCCTGCATGCGGCTGAATGCTGTATTGTCTTTATGTTGAGGGAATCTTGTAGAGTACTAAGATTGTCCAAACATGTTGTAAATGTGATTGTGAAGTGTTTTTCTTTTCAGACTCTCAGATCACTGGGTAAGCCATCAGCAGTCACCTCAAGCCTAAATAAATTAAGTTAAACACACAAATGCGCTCATCTCCACCGCTGTGCTGGATGACATATGAATTGTTCACACATCGCTGGAATGCAGCTCTAGATTGATGGATAATTTAGTTGTCATAGATACAGTGCCATTACTGCTGACAAACATGTGCCTAATCATTTATTCAGTAATGGTTTATATTCACGGTCATTACTACCTCATTTCTGTATTGTATAGAGTTGTAGAGAGTCTCTGAGGAGCGAGAGTGAGTTGGGTGCAGGGAATCTTTTCCCTGTCTGTTTGTGGTAAATTTTTATCTGTCTGGATCATGCTGCAAACAAGAGGACATGAGTGAAAAGGAGGGGAAGGCTTATAAAGAGACAGACTGGAGTACTGCAGATCTATTATTCAGTCTGACTGAAGCTCTGTTTGGACGTGACTGAATTTGCAAAGAAAGTCATGGGTTTCTTATGAAACGTGTTCATAAGCAGCGCTCCATCAAGGGTGAAGGGAATCGTTCGCCTTAAAATTAAAATTCTGTCATCATTTACTCACCCCCATGTCATTCCAAATGCTTTCTTTCCTCAGTGGAACACAAAAGGAGATGTTTGGCAGAAAGTTCACACTGCTCTTTTCCATACAATGAAAGTGAAGGGGAACAGAGACAACCTTCAAAAATGATACAAAAGCTCCATAGAAGCACCAAAAGTTGTCATACACACACAAAAAAAAGTTTTTTTTTTTTCAAAGCTGTAAATAAAAAGATTATTGGAGATTTTTTTTTTTACTTCAAAATTTCATGTTTATATGTTACTTTATGCAATGTGTTACTTGCTGTTTCTTTGTAATTGTTTGTGAAATTATATCTTTTTGTGAGAAAGTAGTAAAATCTTCTCAAATCTCATATCATAACATAAAATGTGGTCTGTTTGTTACAGAAAGCTTCTCATATGGCTTCAGAAGATGTGGAATACAGTATATCATACATGTAGTGAAACCTACATTTAGGATGCTTTTTTGGAGATTCAAAGCACCTTTTCTCTGTATGGATTCATTTTATGGAAAAGAGCATCGAGAACATCCTGCTAAACCTTTCCTTTTGTGTTCCATGAAAAAAAGAAAGTCAGACTGGTTTGGAACAACATGAGGGTGAGCAAATAGCTATACAATCTGGGATCAGATTGTGTGTCACAGACTCAGAGTTAGTTTGCACACGTTTCAGTGATGGAGGGAGCAATAGGTGCAGGTGCTGTTCTTGTAAGCTGAAAATCTGTTGCTGATTTCTTACACCACAAATATTATTGCGCACACACACATTCAATGGAGATCAGCAGTGTAGTCTATAATCCAAATCCCTGTTGCTCCACAAGTGCAGCAGACTCTGTCGTTCTCTCTCTCCTTAACTTCTCCTCCTCTCTGTCTCCTGTTCTGTTATGCTACTTACCCTCAACATCCTTTATCTCTTTTGCATTCTCTTGACAGCTCCAAATTCATCGCCCAATCAATATCTGCCTGATTTCTGTCTCTGTTTCTCTATCCTAACCTCTTTTTGTGTCTCATTTCTTCTTTTCTGTCTTTCTCATTTTCATTACAGTGAAATGTGTCCGAAAGGCCTGTTCTTTATCATATTTAATCAATAACTGAGAAAAAGTTGTACTTTTGCTATTTATCTTCGAAAGCACATACTCAAACCTCAGTACGCATTAAGATTTGTTATTTACAGGCCAAACTTTTTCATAACCCATAAGTTTAATTTGTCCGTCTTCTCCGGAAACTATACATCACACTGTGATATGTGTGGGTGTGTTTATAAACATTTCCCTTGAATTTCCAGCTACCATTATTATGATAGAAAGTTGCTTGCACTTTGAAAAAGAACACTGAAAAGTTTGTAGTCAGAAAGATTTCTAAGTCTCTTGTGCTTAGGGACCGTTCACATGTTGCGTCTTTTGCATGCTCAAGTTCGTTATTTCAAATGAAGAGCGCGCGCATAATAGAAGTGGTGCGGTCGTGATGAAAACACAATGCAAACGCACCACGGGTCATGTGACAAGAACCAACCAATCAGCTTCACCCTTTCCGTAACAAAATTGAAATCTCAGCCAAGATGGAGGAACAACTGATCATAGCTGTACAGGGATACCCATTTTTAAATGAATTTAGTAGCATAGTTACTGCAGCGAGTTTCAGTGCTGGAAATCCGTTTATCCTTTGCTGAAACTTTTGCGTCGTTGTGGAAAGCGCAGGTCATGGTTGGTGAGCAACAGCAGATGCTCGAGGACTTTGGAAAAAAGGAGAAAGCGATGTGGCTGGAGTTTTCCACGCATTTAGTTTTTAGCTTTTGTGAACGTCCCCTTAGGTTGCATTTATTTGAGCAAAATACAGTAAATACAGCAATATTGTGAAATCTTACAAATTATTACAGATTGTTTTAACATTAATGCTGATACATTATATCAGTGGTGATATGTGTTATTCTTTTTTTAGGATTGTTTGTAGAAAGTTCAAAAGAACAGCATTCATTTTAAATAGAAATTTTTTATAACATTATAAATTTCACTTTTGATCAATTAAATTCGTCCTTGCAGAATAAAATTAATATTTAAAAAAAAAAAAAAAATTTGAATGTCCCCTAACTTTTGAACAGTAATGTATATTTAATGCTGGGAAGATATGTAATATAATTATGTATTTATACATTAACAATTTGGTAGTAATAATAATTAAAATTATTTAAAAAAAACAAAATATTATTATTACATTATTGTTATTATTATTATTATTTAGATAATTCAAGTACTCCTTTACATTTTTTAGATTTCAGATTTTCTAAATTTACTAGATTTTCTATTTTAATTTTTTTACTTGATCTGCACAAACCAATTTTATTAAAAAAAAATGAAAATTGAAAGATAATTCTGCATTATTTAACACTTTGAGTCACATTGAAAGGACAGCACTGTAAAATGCAGTGTTCCAACTCATTGCACCCAACCATATTAGAGACCATTTGCTGGTCTGGCAGTCATAGTTTCTCAAATGATGTCCATTGTTGTG